GGCAAATGAAACGAGCAGAAGAACAAGGGGCAGGCGAAGAGGGAGAGATGGGTTAGGGTCAGATTGTAAAATTGCTAGTTCTATTTTTTTTTAACTCTTCACCTATATCTTTAACTTCTTAAGGGTAAGACCAACCATATTCCCCACACATGCTCCATACATAGAAGTATGTCCCCCAAACAGATACCCACTAAGAATTTATTGATAGCTGTGTCATCTCTTTAATGTTTATAAGGGAGGGATGGGCGTTGGTCTCAGACATACCTGGGTTCCAATTCCGGCTCCTAACTAGCTGTGTTAACTTCAGTTTCCTCGTCTGTAAAAGACAGCTACCTACCTCTTCGGTTAGGGGAAGTGTAAACCTCAGAGCGTGCATGACGACAGCTGGTACACAACAGGCTTCCCACATATGGCAACTATAATTAGAGGGCTTTAGGATGCAGCGAGGAACCATTTAATTGCTTGCAGTGTGCTCATTCATTCAACAATCCCCAACTCCCGCTACGCCTAAAAAGGGAATCGAGGGTGGGGGGATCCTCGCACTTGCCGTGAAGACCGTCTATGTGAGCTGCACGCCGAGCCCAAGAGACTCCTCAGCAGAAAGGGTCTTTCAGCAAAAGAAAGGGGCTCTGTCCACCGACGACGAGAATCCCTTTCTCTAGCACTCAGTGCCACTCACGCCCAGCGTCCGGATTCCGTTGTAAACAACTGTTTGGGCTGGCGAGGGAGTGGCGGGGCCGGGAGCAAGCGAAGGAAGCGGGGCGCGCCTGGAGGACGGCCTCGAGGGGTGGGACAAAGGCCGCGCTAAAGCTCAACCCGCCCGCCGTCACTGCCTCGTCCTCGCCTCCACCTGACATCACCGGGACCCGACCCGACCCGACGGGAAAAGGCGAAGAAATGCCTGTGTTCTCGACCTCGTTCCCCCCGTCGCCGGGCCCCGCGTCGGGCCTGCCACGCCTCCGCGCTCGCTCCACACCTGCAGCGGGTCGGCGTCCTCCTCCTCGCCGCTCGAGAC